GCCTCAGGCACTGGAGGACTCCCGGCCCCTCTACCCTGGCCGCGCAGGCCGAGGCATGCTGAGCCTCCCGCATGGCGCTCCTGCCCCACATGCACCCATGGGGCGGCCGAGCCTCTCCCCAGTACCCGCTGCCCGGCCTCCCAGCGTTGAAGTACTGAAGCAGCCTTAAACTTTCGGGCATAAACTTTGTTCGCAGCTTCAGGGGCTTTCTTTAAGTTCAAATCACAACGAAACCTGTAAATAAACCCTACTTATGTGGTAGACCTGTGAGCATTGAGTGCTGTGAGGGCTCAGGGATCTGCTCGACTGATTTCACAATTGAAATGTTATGAAAATGTCTCAATAATAAACTGAAGAGTTGCATAATCATCTGCATGGAAAGATATCTGTCATGGTTGGTATTAAGGGGATTTTATTCTTAAATACCATGTTTCTTTTCTCTTGTGGTAGATGAAAATGAAGCAGAGAGACCAGAGGAAGAAAAACCTAGGTGAGTATCTTGACAACTGGAAGTCCTGTAGCATGGCTGCACGAGAAAGTTATTAATAACATTTTTTTTCCCAACTGCTTGAAAGTCCACAGCGCTTGAGCACACTCTGGTTTCTTTGAAAATCCCCTTGACATAGTATATTTGGTCTGCTAGCATGACTTGGCTTCTCTGTGAAATGGTTTTACCTGTGAAATTGGGATGCTTGAGTATGACAGTTATTTTAAATTTTAATTGTATGGACAGCAGTAGTCCTGCACAAAATGCCAGGAGGTCTTTTATTTCTTTAATCATGGTGCTTTGCAGTCTTGGTAGTGGATCAGGACTTCATTTGTTCTAGATAATTCAGAAATTAAAAGACAGTCTTTCTCCCAGAGAGTTTACAATGTAGTTACAAAAAGAAGACTACAAAGCAGCACTGGAAGGTTACCAGTTAGTTTGATGTGCATGTTGTGTAACACATCAGCTGACGGTTTGAGGATTGTTTTTTTTTCAGTGAGAGAGTATTTGAAGGAAATTTGGAAAAATTTTGGAAGTATTTGGGGCACCCTGCTTGAGCTATAAGGAGCTGTATGAGAGAAAGCACAAAGATGTTCCTTTGAAAATCATTGGTAAACTATGGAAATTACTGGTTGTCAAAATAAATTTAATAAAAGGGAAGCTAATGCAAGAAAGCATGAATTGTTATTTTCTATAAATGCTTTCAGTCAGCAGTGATTTTTTTCAAGAGCTCTTGAATTCAGTTACCTTTGGTGGACTTCTTGTCCATAAGCTTGCTCAGATGCTTTTTTTTGAACTCACATCAGCTTTTGACAGGCAAAGTGTGATACAGCAGTAATGACCTCCACCACTTGACCACATAGAATCTCATTCTGAAGCAGCTACTGATACAATTACTTCCCATTAGCTCTTGTACAAGAAACAGAGTTGTTTCCTGTCACCTTTTCCATGCCAGTTAACAGAAGGACCTGTGTTGCATTTGTCTTGAATCATCTCTTCCAGCACAAAGAATTCATCATTTATTTGCTTTTTATTTGGAAGCTATTCCATATAAACTGATTCATATTGTCCAGTTACCTTTGCTTGAACTGGCACCTTTGTCAGTATTACTGTCGTTTTAAGAAAATTATTTGTATGGCAACCAAAACGATCTTTAGAAACAGTGGTCAGCAGAGTCTGGCTTAACATTTGGCTGCCTCAATACGTAGTGTGGACTAAAAAGCAAGACACATAGCAGTTTATGCATCTTATGAGTTGTGTTTGGAAGTCTGGAAGTTTAGTGACAGTTTACCTGTTCAAAGTTTTGGTCTCTGGCCTGTTAGTTTTGGCCTTCTTCAGATATATTTAAGAATTGTGAGGTTTTGTTCAGGTTCTGTAGCTAGTCTGTCATTTTAATGGGTGATGAATTGGATTGGTTAAGTTTAAATGTTGGGGCCATACCTGTGCTTTGGTGCAATGCTTACGAGTGGGTATTTTGCCAACAGAAGATGGGATCAAAATCATTCTGTTCAATAAAAATTGGCAGTTGCTCAGTCCATTTCAGAGATACCATTTCAGTGAAAGAATATTGTTTCTAAATGGCTCCCTGTTTACTCTGCTATTTGTGGTGCAACATCCCAACAGTTAATGGAACTGTGGAAATGAAAACATTGCTGTGAAATAAACAGCAGTAGGTAAGCCCTGCAACACAGCTCAGTTGCATGGATTTGACAGAGCTGTTCACTTGAGGTGGACCAGTAGTTTTAAAACTTTTACAGTTTTCAGTCTACAGTTAAAATATAATTCGTCATTGAATTGTAACTATTTCATATGGTGGAAGAAAATTTCACAATGCAGATGTGGGAAATTTGATTCAGTGCAACATTACCTATGGATATTTATTTATTTTCCATTATGTCTTTGTGAAGTCTGCAGGGAAAAAAATAAGAAAAATGTTGTTCTTCATGTATTATGAAACATTTCACTTTGGTTTCAAAAGAGGATCCAGGTGTAGTGCCTTTTCACTTGCAACTATTCTGTGAACGTCCAGTTAGTATGACTTATGATAGCTAAATATTATCCTGTAATATGAAGCTATATTCATCTAGAAAATTATTTAATTATTTTAATTAATGCAGAAGCTAGCTGGAACTTTGGGTCTTCTCTGGAATGATGTAGCAAGGCTTTTTTCATCATGTGGAACAATATGCGCATAGATACCTACTTTCATCTTTCTCTGTTTTTGTTTAAGTGCTCCACCCCCACCTGGAAATGAAGAGGAAGCTGCAGAAAATGGCGTTGTGAAAACGGTAGTTTTAAATGTGTTTTTGGAATACTGCTTTAATATGGTTTGATTTATGGGATATTCATAATTTGGCTAGGACTTACCATTAAATCTAATGCATAAATGTACGCTTGTTTTTTTCTTTTCTGAAAGGTGTTTGGCACTATCTGCAGAAACTCTGTAGAAATTACTAAATTAAGAAATCCAATTTCCAGCTGCAGTACACTTTTTAAGTCTAACTTACAGAAATTAAGTAAATAGTACTTCCATTTCTTTTCATGGGGAAAGATACTGCTTCAAGACAGCTGCCTTTTCTCAAAAACATCTTTTCAAAATGATACTATCTCTCATTTTCCTCCCAGATAGGAAAATAAAATCCTTTGATAGTTTTTTTTTGCTCGTGATAAACGATCAACGTTTGTAGAACTATGTGAAAATATGGATCAAGAGGTGAATTACATGTGCCTTTCAGAGGCAGCATAACAGACTTGTTTGGTAGTAGACTTGAATGTGCAGTATGTTATAACTTCAGTATTAGTAGGATGAAGGAAGGGAGCAGGAAATGAAATTTACAGTTGAGTGTTGATAAAAGGCTTCAGTTTATTGTGAATGGAAATGGTTTAAATCTCTTCTATGAAAAAATAGTAATGTTACTTTACTGGGATATTTGGGTTATATCTTGCAAGAATTCTCTTAAGTGATGCAGGAACCACTGTCATATTTGTGAAAATGTTAAGGACTGGCCTCTCGAAAATATATTTTTTTTTTCCAGTAAGTCTAATACTTTATTTATGAAAGATATTATGACTTATTTAAAGTTGTTGAAAAACTTATAAAAATTTTAAAACCCTATTTTAGTTGTTTAAACTGAAAAGCTTGTAATTTTAAGTGCACCAAAGGCTTTTTGTGCTGATGCTAATCCTGTAAATGGGCAGTAGGTTTAGTATGTTAGGTAAAGGAGGAAGGCTTGCTGGTTTCAAAATACTTCTGAAAATCCCCATTGGTGCAGTTCCCTTGTACTTGCCTCTCTTTGTGTTTTTCACCTATACGAAGCCTAGTGCTGTTAAGATATCATTAGGATATCTCCACGCAATTGAGAATTTTGTGGTAGAAGGTGCATATGGAGTGTCAGCAGCAGCCTAGAAAAATGGATGGTGTTCAAGCTGGTTGAGTAAGAAAAGGAGACTATTTCTGTGAGGAAGGAACTAAGAAAGCATTGTTTATAATTGAAATTGGCTTTTGTTGAAAATGCTCCAGGCAAAATTTCATATTCTCTTCAATGTATTTGTAATGGCTTTCTGCTGAGTGGGTTGTGTGAGTGGGTGTGGGAGATTGGTGAACTTGTACTTCTCAGCTGAGCAGCATTGAAGGCTGTCTTCTGGCTTCAGCTGTTATTTACAGGGTATCTATACTGATCTAGACTACCTCTCCCTAGATTAGACTCTTAATTGTTATGTAAATTATGCTAATGCCATATAGCAAGGGTGAACTGTACTCCAACATCTTAGCTTCTGCACAGCTGCTTATTTTTGTCTAATTTATGTACCAGGGAAGGTAAGAGATTATACAGTAGGTAAGGGCTACAGCTCAGCTGTGCTTGGAGAACTTCAAACTACCTGAAAGAATCAACTTGGCTTTGGTACGTCCAGACTCTTGCTGAAGGATTCAACAAGTAAGTGAATAAGGGTGATCTGGTTGATAAAGTTCACTTGGATTCCACAAAGGTTTTTAGAATAAGTTCCTCACCAAAGGATTTTAAGAAAACTAAACAGCTATAGGATGAGTCCCACATGATAATTGACGTGTAACAGATAGAAAACAGAGGGTAAAAGTCTACGTTCAGTTTTGGCAGTGAAGGAGGATAACCTCCAGTGGGGATTCACTGGAATGTTGTGCATAACCTGTGCTCTTTAGTGTGTTTATAAGTTACTTAGAAAAAGGGGTAAATTGTGGGAATGCAAGTTTTCTGATGTTACAAAATTATTCAAGGACTATCTGAAGAACTGACTGGATAATAAATGGTCATTGAAATTCTGTGTAGAAAAAGAGTGATGTTCATGGGAGGAAAACAGACTTACAAATAAAGTGGTGGTCCCTGAGGTCATCATTGCCACTTAGGAGGGACTCACTCAGATACATAGAAAGATCACGAAATTGGTGGTTACATGCTTGTATGGAGTCTAAAAAGCACTTAAACTTTGGGATGTTGCAGCAAATAAATAGAGAACAAAATGAAAGATATCTTTACACCATAAATTCATGGTTCAGTTGCACCCTGAATTCTGTGTGCTATTGTAAAGAATTCAACTGAAAAAAGTTGAGAGAAGAGCAGCAGGAGTGATTGGGGTAACTTCCATACAAGGAATGGCTGAGTACATAAGGACTTGTAGCATACAATGGAGGCTAACAAAATCATGTATAGACCTTATAAATAAGGATTGACTCCTCACAGTCCCTTACCATGAGAACTGTAACTGTTAAATGAAAGTCAGAGGAGCCAGGATGAAAAGAAATAAAATAGGTTGGATCTTCATGCAGTACATAGTGCTGTGGAATTCCTTGCCAAAGAGAGTGTCACTGTTGGGAGTTTATATGAGTCCAAGGGAAGTCTGGGCAAGTACTTGACAGAAAAGACCCATTAGGGGTTACTAAAAACACAAACCATAACTGACTTAGGAAATTCCCTGAGCTGATAATAATCATGTTAGGGTGGAGCATCATACGTGTTTGCCCTGGCTTTTTTCTCTCCCCTGTGGTCTCTGGGAAGTGAAAGCTAAGACAAAACACCAAACCAACCAAAATGCTGGACTCTTGGTATGGACTGGCATGACAGTTTTATTTATCAGCAACCTTGAATGCTGTGGGGCTGAACAGCATGCCGTGTACTCTTGTATCTGTATTTTCAGCCTGTTCACTGAAAATCTCCAGTATTTTACATAGTTTACTGATGCTAGGAACTGAATAGATTTTTCTGAAGCACAGTGTCTACAACTGGAAAAACATTTGGGTTACTCAGGAGATGTAATTGAGAATGGCAAGAAGCTAGTCTTGCATATGTTTAGGTTCTTTCCTGATTGACATGATTAGAGTAAAACCAGTACGTATGAGCTAGGTGGAGGCAAGAAGGATGTTAGTGGAAACTATTTTATGCTTGTTTAGGAAATGTCACGTTTCAGAAACAGAGCTTAGTATTAAAGGTAGTTCTCTATTTTGATGCAGATGTCTCAAATACCTGTAGCATTTCATCAGATGAGTCTCCTAGGTATACTCTTAATGACGTTGAGTTTTGAGGTCTAGGAAAAGGAGAAGTTCTTCCATTCAGAGGTTTCTAGAACAGATAGTTTTGACTGGATTATTTTTCCACTATAAAGGTAAGTGACTGCTTTTTGTCTAAGCAATGACTTTTTCTCTTGTAGAAGGTGGCAGAGGCTGAGGATGACAGTGATAGTGATAGTGATGATGACGAAGATGATGTTCAAGTCACCATAGGGGATATTAAAACAGGAGCTCCACAGTATGGGTAAGTTATTTGCAAATATTAAATGGGGGAACTTCCAAGATTGCATTTAATTATTAATTCAGGATCTTTAATACTCATCAATATCAAATTGTATGCATAGTTAGTGTCAATTTAGCTTGTTGTTTGGTTTTTTTTTCAGTTTTTTAACAATGTTTTTAAGGATATAGGGATTTGAAAACAAAGTGAAATGAGATCAATTAAATGTTGTAATGGAAGAGCTGTTATATGAGTTCAATTATTTTCAGATTTTGAGAATTAATAGTATTAAGTTTGTAAAGTTGGGTGGTGTTGTTTATTATTGAATGGCTGTGTTACATGGCGTGTTTAGGGTTGTTAGTGTGACAGTGACATTTCTGTGCAAATGGTAGAGTGGTAAGCATGGAGAACACTAGAAACATTTCTCTTTGGTCCTGTTTGTAGTGGCTACAGTTCTAATTAGACCTCTATAGTTTCAAGTCTTACTGATGTTCTCAAATAAGAATTTACTGTACTTCAGGATGGAGCTGCCAGTCTCTGGAGATAATTTCTCAACATCACGGTTTTGGCATTTGTGCTATATAAGATTTTATTTTTGCTGCTGCTGTTGCCCCATATTCCTTCTTCTCTTGATAAAGGACTTGTTTGTCACCGAACTCTTTCAAACAGTGTTAATTTTTATCCCAAGTTATGAAATACTATTTTTCATTACATGGAAGTTTTCTGAGGGAAGTGGTTTGCTTGTTTGTCTTGGCAATCCTCATGTTTTTATGCTTATTAAAACCAGAGTTAATAAGGCATCATTCTTAATAGAATTATGTCAGGTCTGCAGGTAGGTCTGACTCATATATATTATTGTGTTCTTAACTTTAGAATGCAGGTGATTTACTCAGTTTTGAAACATAATAATTTTAAACTTTCAGTGTTTCATATCTTAAACTAACTGTGCAAATCAGTGTAATATAAAAAATAGTAGTTCTTTGAGTTCTTCATTTATCTGCTTTCAATAACTTGCAGTATGCTTGTGGTGTAGGCAGTAACATCAAAATTAGATTTATATTCATACTGTATTTGCTGGTGCTCTTTCCAGAATACAGAAAACAATGAACAGGTGATGCTAAATGCAATTAGAGTAGAAAGTTTTATGTAGAAATGGTTGTTTCCTGAAAAACCTTTTTTTCTGTGCCAATTGGACAGAAAGTTCATGGAAGGGCAGTAATCTAAAACTCAACATTGTTGTTAAATTTAACTTCAGGATAACAAGTTCCTTTTATAGGATTAAATGATTTTTCATATAGTAGTCAACTGCTATTTGAAAAAAAATTCATTATGTTTGTTTGAGTCATGCACAAATACAGTGTAGCAGATCAGAAGGTTAAATGTTTTGTGTCAGTTTTGTAGTGTTTGTACTTTAATGAAAACTAAAACTGCATAGAAGTGGTACTGTAAAGTATACACTGCCTTCTAATTCTGTTCTAATCTCATTATGTTTATGGCTTTGTACCACCTGTGAGGATGAACTGCATTACGCACAGATTGTAGTGAAAGCAAGCTCTCTGTGTTCCAAATGAACAGTACTGTAATTCCTAAGGCAGTTAAATGAGTTCAGTATCTAAATTTCTTGAGTACATTCTTATGAATAAAGCTTTCAAGTGGTTTAGAAAGTGAAATATTACATACTTCTCTGTTGGTCACAAGGATGGGTGATTTGCTAGAAGTACATTGAAACAGCCTTTCAATCATTGTAGCGAAATGTTTGTATTTTCCACTTCTGTACAGATTAAATAGAATAATTATGAAAAGAGAAAAGGATCTGTCTAAACCCTTTCTTTTTTTATTTATTTTGTTTTTACTCTAATCCCCAGAGTGTCATCTGTATCCCTAAATGAACTGCATTTTTCCTTTCTTTCTTCTGGTTCTGTCCATTCTTGTTTCTGTGAAGGTCTTTATCCTTTCAACTCAGGAAGAGTGACTGGGACTTGCTTGACAACTGTTTATTAGTTGGAGAAGTTGCTACTGAGCATAGAAAGGTACACTCTCTTCCTCCTAGGCTGATCTCTTTACTTTTACAGTGTTACCAGCTTGGAAAGCTAGAGGTTCAGGATGGCGATTTAGCCTGAGTCCAGTTTGTTTCTGGATCTAGCTAACTCTTGTTTTGTGTTTTCTTCTGTTTTAAGAGTTTTATCTGTCTAATTCAGTTTTTTGTTGATTTCTTTCAAGTTATGGAGCAGCCCCTGTGAATCTCAATATTAAGACAGGAGGAGGACGAACTTACGGATCTTCTGGTGAGAAAATTGACAAAGTAGTATTAGTAAAAGTGAAAAAAAAAGTTTGATTGTTTTAGGTTAAGGAAATAATTTTTACTTCCAGAACCTGCTGGTAAACTTAAATCTGACTTTTAATTTCCATTTTAAGTGTATTACAGCTGTTAAAACTCTATTTGGTAGAGACAAAATGCTCTAACTTTGTAACTTTCCTTCGCAGGTGCAAAAGTTAAAGGGGTAGATCTGGATGCACCAGGGAGTATTAATGGTGTGCCACTTCTGGAAGTAGATTTAGATTCTTTTGAAGATAAACCTTGGAGAAAGCCAGGTAATGCCCTTGTTTTAACTGATATGTAGGTATTCAGTAGGTTATTTTAATAATAGTTCCCGTTTACTGCATGTAGATGTTATGTATCCTATAGCTAGAAGATACTGTACAATATTGTTTGAAAAAAGCAGTTATTTGTTACCTTTGTGCTATGCCACGGAGTGTGTGGCCATGCCATGTTTCTTAGTATACGTCCTGCACATATATCAGTAAAAAGACTGTAGGACATGCCCTTTATTTATTTATTTATTTATTTACAAATGGTGTATATCCTGAACTCTCCTTGGAAATCTGTATTTCACTGGAATGGAAAATAGTTCTAGCCAGTTTGAGCATGAAGAATGATGAAATGTAGCTGCTTGTCATAGAGTGAAATCCTTAGGCCTTAAAGAAGCAGTTGGTACCACATGGGCTTTCCATAAGTCTCCTGTGTGTGTTGTCTGGCTCAAGTGATTTGGCCAGACTTGTCTAATACCTGCTTTTTTAGTGGCTGTGCATCTTGCTGCTATGTATAGATTTTTCTAGTATTTGTATATTGCTTTGGCAATGCAAATAGTGTGTACGAAATGGTGTTTGAACTATTAGCTATTTGAAATACATTCTGTGCATTTCAGTTATGTCTGACCCCTCTCTTACAATAAAAATGCTTCATGGCATCATACGAGACTAGGAGTCAAAACAACATGAGGATTTGAATAGAGAGCAAGCAAAAGTGAGCGGTTCTTCACTGAACATAGAGCAAACCTTTAAATCTTAAATTTAGCATGTTGTAAAGATACAGGGATTATAATATCCTGTGATATTCTGCAAGTATTTACTCTTGATCCCTGAGACAGGATGCTAATCTGGTTACTCTGACTAAATTTTGATGTTGTTATAGTCTCAGCCATGAACAGTCTATGTTTACTGAGGCAAGACTATATTGTATATTTCAGTGGTATGTTTTTAGCTCAATACCTAATCTGTTTTGATGTTACAAAAAAAGGTGTATGTATGATCAGTGAAGAAAAGATGAACTTTGTAATGTCCTAAACCCCTATGCCTTTCTATTCAAAGGGGCTGATCTCTCTGATTATTTCAACTATGGATTCAATGAAGATACCTGGAAAGCTTACTGTGAAAAGCAAAAGAGAATACGAATGGGTCTTGAAATTCTACCAGTTACCTCATCCACAAATAAAATTACGGTAATTAGTACAACTTTTGCCATATTCTAGATGCTTTTTTCCCTGTAAAGCTGCTTGTGTGTCAAAAGCTTGTTCAGCCCAGTTCAGTGTGTGTGTTAGAGTTTGCACCTGACTCCCCACCTTGAGCCTAGAGTGTTCCTGTGTGTTCCTGTGTTGCTTCACTGGCAATTTGTGTGGATAGTGTGACAGACTAGCTACAGCTAGATTGCATCTGTACCATTATTCAGATTGTGGCCCATCACTTAAGAGTTGTATGGTATCTTAATGGGCAATGTGTTATTTAACTTAGGCTGAAGACAATGCTATGGAAGTAAGACCAAGTGCAGAGATTCTCGATGGCAGATACCATCTTTTTAAGGTGAATTTTAGTAAACTTTTGTCGGTTGCTCTTGTTTTCATTGAGTATTGCTTCCCATGCCACCACAGACTGATAGAAGAACAACGGAAACGGACATAGCCATTATTTCAGACTCTCATCTTAGATCAGTGACTTTCTGCAGATGTCATAAAATGCTGATTAAAAAGTGTTCTTTGTCACCCTTCTGCAAGTATGTGAGTTAATGACCTGGTGAACTAACAAATTTCCAAGAGAAACTAATTTTTCTTTATGTGATGGTTTATTGTAGTGCATTTGTTTGTGCAGATTAGAGAATTTGTGCAGATGTGCAGGGGAAGCTTTTGTAGATTATGGCATGTTTATTTTTCCTGTGGCCTTATAGCTCTTGCTGTATTTTGTAACACTTATCCTTGGCAACTCTGAGATGTGAAAATCAATCTTCCATATTTTTCTGTTGTCCTTTTGGGATTAGACAGCAATGAATCAAATTATATATAACGTTGTTTACATTCAGAAATGCTGATTTACAGAGAGTGGATTTGTATGATGGGATTTATCTTAAAGATTGAATATCTTTTTTCAACCTCTCATTTTCTCATTTACTGTTTTGTTTGATGCTAAAGTTAAAATACAAAGGTTATTTTTTTGGCCTATTTTCAGTAGATCAGTTTTATTCTTGAATGGTCATTAAACTGACTTGGAACTGTTTGTTGCTTTCTTCTGTATACTCCTGTGACAGAAGTGGCAATTGCAGACAGGTATTTTTGTTTCCCCTCATGTGCTACTTGAGGGTACTCAGTCATCATGACTTTATCTTAGCAAGAATAGGTCGGAAGCTCCCTGGGGCTTTTTGCCTTCCTCAGTTATCATGACAATAGTGTTATGGAATGGTGGGCAGTGCGAGTTATGGTTTGCAGCTGACTACACTCTCAAACTTTGTTGAACTGTTGTCCTAAGGAAGGATAAGTATTCCAAACAAAAGCTTCCCCTATTTCTAGCTCAATACTGACTCTCTGGGGGTCTAGTGATCAAACAGTACAGACAGTAATTGTGTTGTAAGAGTCTGAAGTAAGAGTGTATCATGTGTTTTACAAGGAGTTTATATGTAATTATTAAATAATTTCATTAACTTTTTTTCCACCCATCTGCAATACTAAATCTCATGTAATTTACGTGGTATGTTTGGATTAATCTTCTGTAACTGGCAGGACTGTCTCCTATGTTTTCCAGTTACTCATTAGATAACAGAAGTCTTACAGACTTTTCAGATAAATACTTATACCAAACCTATTCAGCATTTTTTTTTAAATGTAGTTCTGGATACAAAAATTTAAGTCATTTTTTAATGAATCTTAACTGTTTATGTACAGTTTTGTGGGTCAGGCAAAGAGGTGCCTGTGTTTGGAAGTCAGATTCTGCAAAGCTTAGTAGTTCACTTGCCTACAAGAAGCCGTGAAATCACAGCCCATGTTATATTGTACCATGAGTGAACTAACTATGTCAAGTGATGTAGTTGTGTGGTTGGTACAGCGAGAGTGTCTTTAAAAACTGAATCAGTCCAGGTTTGTCCTTAATGCTAACCTATTTAGGTTTTTCTTTCATGTAATACTTGAAGTACTTGCACTAAAGGTCTTACGTAGTTTTAATAACCTGTCTCTGGAATTTTGCAGTACTTCAGAAACAGCAGCATGTTTCTGAAGTATTCAGTCTGAACTAATGAAAAATCTTTTAAGGTTTGTGTAACCAGGAGTATGAGGTGACTTCCTGGTATGACTCAGAAATTAAGTGGTTTCTAGATCTCATGGTCGGTAAGGCAGGTGGAAAATCCACTCAGTTTCTTGGCTCATGGTTTGTTGTTGGGTGGCAGACTTGTTAACCTCTGTTGTTAAGATTATGGAGTTTTGGGGTTTTTAAATAAATTTGCTTCTTTTAAAAATTAAGATGCTATGTTGTTCATACAGGAAATTCTGCAAGAAAATCAGTGTGGTTGGTTCATGTCCAGATCAAACACTTGGAAAATAAATATTAAAACTCTCTAACCTTATATAATAATTTATTCTCTGAAATGTTGCTTCTTTATAGATATTAAACACAGTAGTTCTGTATTTTATAAGGATATGCTTGTTAGCTATGCAAAGGTGACAGTTTTTTAAAAATTTGATTAAAGGACTTTGGTTCTGTGTTGGCTGTGTGCTATGTTGAGTGTTGGGGCTGCTGCACTTCTGAGGCTAAACTAATGGAGAAACGTTATTTTGAAGGTACAGCAGGGCAGAACTGGAAATTTGGAGAAAGAGTTGGCAGTGCAGTCGACCAAACCCGATTTCACATCTCCTCCTGCCTTATTCAAATCAGGAATTCCAACAAACAGGTCAGTTAGTTTTAACTCAAGACCAGAAAACATTTTATATACATGTATTTGAAGTTTGTGATTTTTGTAGGAAGAAGGGAAAGTACATTTCTGTAGCAGGTAGAACTGAGGGGAAGAGTGGTCCTAAACACTTTTAGCCTTTAGTTGCCATTACACATGAATGCTATGCTATTCTTTGCTATTTGGGAAAGAGAAAGAAGGAGGAAAGGGGAGAAAAGCCAGCAAGACCAAATAACAAGGCAGCTATAAAAATCCAGGTGTATTTTGTGTAGAATTAGATTGGCCAACAAAATGTTTCTAGCTTGTGTCTTTATGGGTATTACCTAACACACCTCTTCAGTCAAGATGGAATCATACAGCTATGACTTCAGCAACTGGAAGGATTCCTAGAACCCAGTCTCTTTACTTCAAGGTAGCTTTAGCTTCTCTTACTTGAATATTTTTTGTACTTTCTTTAAAATGGAGGAATTATTTCCTTCCTACAGTTTCTTCCCCTCATTCTTCCAGCCCCTGACTTCAGAAGGTTCTCTCCTTTATATCTAAGCTACTGCTGTTTGCTACCTGGCACTTGGCTTAGGATGAATCCATGATTCTGCTTTAGTTTAGTTATGAAGTGATCCTGTTCAGGAGTTTTGGTTTTGTGCAAATTAAAAGCCATAGTATTATAAATAATGGCAAGTAGAGCAGGTTGTATGCTTTCATCATCAACAGTTAAAGATTAGCATCTATGACTTGTCTTTATTACTGCATCCATAAGTACATTGGTTAACTCAGAGGCACTCAAGTTCAGTCATTCCATCCTTTGAGAGTCAGTTCAACACCCAAAGACATTTCTCTTGGGTGGAAAAAAAAAAATCTTGCTTAATACTCTTGCCTGAATTTTTGTTTCACTTCTAGTGTATTCTTCCTGGTAGCCTGAATTCCTTTCTGAGCTATCAGGTTATACTGCTCTGGTTTTAGTAGATTTTAGTGCTTTTTTTTCCTATTTTTCTTTGTTTAAGAAGCAGTAAAAGCCTTCCAAATAAATACCAACCCTGTAATTATTTATTTATGTTTCTTTTCTGAATTGCTTCTGTTGTGTGATGCTCTCATAACAGAGGTCTAAACATTGAATGTACTATTCACAGTAAGGATTCTAAATCTGTACCTAGTACAGGTTTTGTTACAGGATTTCAATTCTTTATACATCTCATTGGTGGACAGAGAATCTCAGAAGAACTTTAGAAAGTAGTTAATGACCAGGATATTAAAATGTAGCTGTTGTAGAAAAAAAAAATGCATTGCATAAATTCTTTAGTTCTGTGAAATTTGCATTTGTTGTAAGAAAGCTTAATAAAATAAGGTTATACATGTGTGTGTTGTAGGCCTCATAAGTAAAGTCTTTGTTGTATGCTATAGGTGGGATAGTATATCTTACCATAGATGTCTTTATGCCATCATTTTACGTGAGTTTGTTTTTTTCTGCCTGAAGTTAGCAATCCCAGGTTTAAGTGCCTATCTTTCTGATTTTTAAAGATTTAAAGCTAGTATGCTGCTTGTTAATCAGAGCTTTCCTGAGAAACTTAAGACATGCTTGTTTTCTTCAGAAACTAAGTTTACTTTAGCAAAGGTTGGGAAACCTTGTATCTTTCAGAAGCAGAGGACAGTAAGTGAAGTTGGTCTGTTGCATAGGTAAAGAGGAAACAAAATAGTACATTTCCAGTTGTATCACTTGTGCATTCAGTGGTTAGAATAGGTTGGTTTATATAGACTTAGTGTGAATACTGTAATTGCAAGTTGTTACAATGATAAAACTGGCTTCTTTCTGTATTTAATGTCTGCTCCTTTGGATACATTTGCTTAAAATAAATTCTTGTATAAAGAAAAAGGTGTTTCTACTGAGTGACCAGAATAGATTTTGAAAGAAAATTGTCTGCTCAAAAGTGAGAGTAGTGTTGTGAATGAATACACCTTCACTGTATGGGTTATGTATACTTGAATGGCTTCTTCAGAATGCAACTACTATTTTCTGCATATAAGAACATGTATTGCCAATTTGCTTATAACTAGGCAGTGTTTTGTGGGATTGGACTTTAATTAAAGAATTAATTCTAGGTAGTCAGATTATTTTTGAAATCCAGCTATTTGATAATGAAAACTTAATTGCCTTTATGCCACAAGGCATGTGCAATAGCTTTGTTGTGAAATTGCTGGAAGCATTAATCACATATCAGTAAAACTTCTGTCAGCTTCTAGCAGTAGTTGATACATTTGGTGAAAGGGCAGGAAAACTGATGCAACTGGGTATAGGAACATTGGTGTGGGGCTTGGTAAGGAGCTGGGCATGAGGAAAAATAAAACTCAAAAAGCAGAAAAGGTAGAGACATGAGAAGAGAAAGACCTAGGCAACTTATCTCATCAGAAGCAGTATGTCTTCTCAGTCGTAGACAAGCTCTGCCTCCAGAAAAGCCAATTCAGGGATTAAAAAGTGTCAGGAACAAAACAGGAGGGACGTATCACCAGAATTAAGGGCAGCGGGGATGGACACCGGGGCAAGGAAAATCAGGACATGGTCCTCATTTGACGTTTTAATTCCCCATTTAGTAGTCAGGGCTGCCACAATGCTCACCAAGTGAAAGTTCCTGCTCTCTACAGTTGTGTCCTAAATGTTGAATTCAAAGAAAAATTCAGTGCTTGTTCATATAACATGTGTGTGTGAGAAATTTTGCTTGAGTTTGTAAACAGTGACTGTCTTAATCATAGCTGAGTTATTAGCTGTTTAGAAATGACACCTGAACGTCTTCATTCTGTGATATTTAGGGCTGTTGAATAGCGTAAAGTGCAGCATAACTCTGAAGGAGGAGTTAGAATGTAATGGCAATGGTTTAGTAAATGGACATCATATACAAACAATGTGGTGTGTAATAGAATGTTTGTCCTCTAGAGGTACTTAAGTAAAGACTCATGTGTGCATAGTCACAGTTAAGGTAAAATCCAGAAGGAATTTCTTTTGGGTATAGTGCTTTCTAGAATATGAAGAAGATTTGACATACTTCAAACCTGGTCTACACAGCCAGGTCATGGTGATATCTTACTGCTTTTTTAGAACAGTGCTTTCCTTACATAATTTTTCAAGGACTGTGAGACAGTATTTGTTTAGCAGCAGAGAAATAAGCAGAAGTTTCATTTCCAAGCTGGGTGCAAAACCTGGTATTTTCTCATTCTAGTAATATCTACAATAGCTAGGTAAAAAATAACTTTGTGCAGTCAGAAGCTCGTAGGTTTTTAACCTCCATTTATGGTTTTTCTGTTACTACTAAAGAGTACATTACATTTAAATGAATTTTGCTTTCAGAGAAACGAGTCTGTCAATGTGATGGACTATTTATCAGCTTTCTGTGTGCTTGGGCCTTTCTGTAAACTGAATTTTTATAGAAAATGGATGTGTGATACGTCCTTACTGTGAAGAAAAGATAAGTTTCTCTTGTTTCATGAACTAGCCTTATGAGACTAAATGTTGAAAACTCAGATATTATTTTGCAAAATGTCTATTTCCTGTATCAGTGATTTCTGTATTAAATTTGTCAATTTCTTAATTATATCAATCAGTGTGATGAGTTCAGCAAAGTTGAGGCTGTCCTTAAGAGGAGGAAAATAAAGTGTGAAACACATTAAGTAAGACAAGAAGGAACAGAGTAACATATTAAATAGAAGTTGTAAAGTATACTATAATTCTATAATTTGTAGACCAGACTATAACTCTAGTGAATAAATGTGGCATCCAGTAGTTAGACTGTTTCTGAATTCTGAAAAGTGTGGGCAGGGTGGCTTTCCAAAAAGCAGTTCATTATTTATATTACTTGTGTGGATAAGTGATTTCTGAAGCTATGAATTCGGAAAATAATTGGGTTTGTCTGGGTTTTTTTTCCTTCCTTTTTCCTCTTTTTCTCTTTGCTCTGTAGAATCTAAATAAACTCAGCTTGCCAGATGAGATTGAGATATCTGACTTAAATCTCCAGGGAGGGTCGTGCAAATGGCTCATAAATAACCATTCTCTAATTAGAGTGAAATCACTCACTGAGTTGCTGGAATGTTCCTTTCAAACTACACTTTGTATGAACTCTGCTGTGGGTTCATGTGCATCCCACACACGTGGATTGCCTTTTTATGTTTGGATGTATCCATTGGGAATGCATCTGTATCCCAGGTGCCCTGGTCGTGTAAGGGAGAAACCAAGCCCGTTCTTTTCTTTGCATACAGCACTGAGGCAGAAACCTAGTAATGCTTGCTGAACATCACTAAGCTTCATAAAGGCTGGGAACTCTTTGAAATTTCTCATGTGCCAACTTGCTATGACTTAATCAAGATCCGAGGCTTCAGATTTGCCCTTTTTACAAAACTGCTGAACTGTTAAATTCTGGACACTTCACACGCCTCTCTTGCCTTTGTGAAGTTCATGGTTTTGACAGTGGTGTCATCTGCTGCTCCATTTGCAACTGGACATAAGCTTTTTCTTGTTCAATTTCAAGCTCTGTTAGTGGAGTACTTAATGAAATCATTACTGCAGTCTTGGAAATAGAGCATTTGTCATGTTCATGGTAAGAAGGCAAATTCCTGAACTCATCCATCATTACAAAAACTAAATTTCTTGGCAGCTATTGGGAAGAACAATGGTCATACCACTGTAAAACGTTATTAAAAAATAATTATAAAGCACCAGCTCAGTGAGAATGAGTGAGCATAGGTGTACTCTTCACACTCCAGAAAAACTAAGTGAAAGCTCTGTTCGTTTCAGTAAATTCGATGTCTAGGAGCCAACCGGTAGTCTAGAGTTGTTTCCTTCGATAATGCAGTGTTGTATTTGGTCTGCTTCTCAAGCCAAAATTGGTCTTACTGTATCTTACTTGGTATACATTTTACTTTTATGGCCTGTACTCTTGTGTTGCTTATGTTTTCAATGCTGATTCCAAGAGCTGCCGGCAGTATGCAAACAGTGCAAGAGAGGCAGAGGAAGTATATCCCCTCCAAGTGGAAGCCCTGTAGAACAGTGGAGCGAGCCAAGCAGGAGGGCACCTGATGAGGGACTTCTTGCTGTAGAAGAAAGTAATCTATCATATGCAAGGACTAAAGCTATGTAAAAGGAGTTTTCTATGGTATGATTTTAGATAAGTAAGAGAAGATACCAGAGATGGAGGAGAACCGGTGTCTTAGAACTCTGAAACCAAATGAGCTGTCAGAGTGAAGACTGAGACAAAGTTTTGTTGTTTTGGAAAAATTCGCTTGCTTTTCTCTTTTTTCTTTCTTTTTTTTGGTAGTGAAATGATTGGTTTAGGAGCTTACAATACCTGTGTTTCCAGTTTGGTTGCTGAAAGCAAAATAATAATAATCCAAAGTACTGCAGTGCTGGAATACTATGCAAGACCACTCGAGAGGATTAGGAAAGAAGGTGTTGATTATTTCAGGATTTAAACTGAAACAACCAGGCTTTTTGGATGAGATGTTAGAAGATCTGAGAATTTCTTAAGCTTGTGTTATCCTTGGAGAGGCTGCTCTATAGTATTAGTTTGCAGATCTGTCGTACCATTGGACTTTTTTTTTCCCATTTCAAACTTGTGCATAATGAGCTTGCTTTAAAATCCAGGAGGAAGCTCTAGCTCAGAGAACAGGCATTTGGATCACCCTCAGTATGCAGTGTGCCAAGGAACTTTAGATTATCTCTGGTCTCTATTATAGGTGTGACACATGTACCTTTGTTTCTCCCATCTATTAGCAATGTAATTTTGTACATCATTTTCTAATGGAGTTGACCTAAGCAAATCTTGCCTTTTAACCTATTTTGGAAATGAACCTGTGGGCTGCAAAGCAGGTAGGTTTTGTTCTATCTGCATAAGAATATTAGAATTAGAAATTCTCAATAAAGCTAGATTTCATGTTCATAATGAACTGAAATCACTGAAAATTTAAATCCTAGATTTCATTTTTCTTAACAAAATGCAGTTCTTCAAATTAATAATTAATAATCATATCTAGAAATAGATCTTGGAATTATTACTGCTGCTTTCCAAAATGTTAGTTAATTTCCAGTGTTAGACAAAATAAGAAAACAGAATGGTAGTCATCATTAGCAGTGGGAACAAACAGGGAAAAGTCATTATGGTGGTACATAAAGCTGTGATGCATTAAGAGCTGAATATTATCTGTGGTTCTGTTTATCTCAGACAAGAAAAGATATAGTAGAGGTAGGAAGGGTCCGTACAAAGATGAAGTAAATAATGAAAGTTATAGGGTTCTTTTACGTTAGGAGAGATGTGAACTAGCTCAGCTTGGGAAAGAGACAACTGGAAGGAGATACAGCAGAGGTACCATGAATACTGCAGTGCCAGCAAACAAGGAGTTGCGGTTTGTGGGGTTTTTTAACATGAGAGCTCTAGGGCACCAAATACAATTGTCAGGCAGCAAAAATAGCTGAAACAGGTCTCATGACAGAGATCAAAAGTAAAAGTGTGTTCAAATGAGATTGTGTAAATGGAAGTTAATCAGGGGCTATTAAACTCAGTTGCATGAAAAGTCCTTAAATTTTCGATTGTCAGAAACTGGGATGGAAAGAATGCATGTTGCTGTTCTTGTCACCTTTCTCTAAAAATCCATTACTATTTCTAAGGAGCGTGTTCTTAATTATGTTCTGTTGTTGCTTGATTGGGTTGTAAGGGAGACTGAGGTACATCTTGTGCTGCTCTGTTGCTGGTTTCTTTAAGGAAGGTGAACACAGTGATTAGCTATGCAAATGTTTTAGAGAGGGACATTTTGCATTTGGAAAACTGAGGAACAGAACTATAAATGGCTAGTCTGAGATTCCTTTGAGTTTCATGCAAGGTTTAGTCTATGAGTCAATGTCTAGTAGTATCATATACTTTCTGTTTGATGTTAAGACTTTATTCCAAGATAAGAGAGATGGTGGCTGATTTTGTTCAATCCTTGCTGCAATATCAATTAGTATGCATGGTAAGGTTGGCCTATATTTATTTCTGCCTGCTAACTTACCTTTGCTCGATCTTCCATGGAATCCTTCAGTATTTTTCTTGCTGTTTAAAAATAATTTCTAATGATTAGTTTATATTTTTGTAGAAGTTCTGTTTAAAATATTTTTTCTTACTGGGGTTTTTTGTCATCTCACTGTATTTTTCCTTTTTTCCCCTTTTTCTTTTTTTTTATTTATCAGTAACAGAAGTGTGGATTTATTATCTTGTAGGGGATGGAAAGAAAATGTGGAGAGTCAGCCTTCTCCAACAGGAGTCTTCATTGCTACATTGTTCCGTTCTATACATTAGTACAGTTAAGCAAATTCATTGCATTTAATGTTCTTCAGAAATGATCTTTTATACAGGAGAAGGAACTTCTGGCATTTAGAATAAGAAAAGTCCTTAAGACTTTCTTCTCTCTCTCTTTTATTTTCCTTTTCTAATTCTGCTTGTTGATTGTGGTTTGTCCTGTGTTGCAGGCGGTTACCTGGCACAATAGATGTGATCGGACAGACCATCACTATCAGCAGGGTGGAAGGACGACGGCGTGCTAATGAAAACAGCAACATACAGGTTTTATACTGCAGATTTGCAGGCAATCTTTGACTAAAAGATACTTTTGGTTTCCCCACAGCTTCCGGTTAAAACACTTTAGTGTGTATGAATGAGTTATACAGAAGTAGCTTTAAGTTCAGGAACAAAGTTGTGGCAGCCGATTAAAATCTGATAATACAAAATACACTTCTTACTGAAAGGAAATGAGCAGTATTGCAGACTTACGATCTAGGAGACAGCATTGTCTCTGCTGGTTCATGGATAGAGTTTTGTTTACTAAGTAACAAAGATAAATATTTAAACTGACTGTCCATTGCTCCTCTGTTCTGACAGACACAAAGCTGAAACCTCTTCATATGCATTTTGAGAAATGCAGTCTTCTAAAAATAAGTTGTGAAGGGATAATTAGCAGATAGTACTTAAAAAAAAAATTGTATTATTTTACCATAAATTTTAAGTTTGTCTTCATAATTTTAGTCTTTATTGGCTTGGATTATCTTAAGAAAACAACTAAATGCATTAAGACGGAATACATTTTCTCTCTCCTGACTTAGCTGTGGAGAAGAATCAAGGCTGCTTGGTGCCTTAGCTGCATTTCCATACCAACTTAGGTTAAGGTTAAACAATGAAAATAACAATGGATAGTAGTGCTTATGTTGAAAACATTGTCATGTGTTTTTCAGCTGATCTCACAGTGTTATAGGTAAATTAAAGTCTTGAGGGATTTTGCATGCTTTTCATATTGGTTTTTCAAATATTTTTCTTTATATATAAATTTAAGATAGAGTTTTGGGCCATATTCAGATGGCTTATATTCCCTCTCAGATCTTGCATTTCTTGTTCCCTATTGGCTGCTCTTAGACCCTCAGAGGTACTTGGCAAGTATGGGACACCAAATGTAGGGATGCAGATAGAACTTAAATCACCTGAATATGGCTCTTTAAGTGCATAAATAAAACTTCCCTGATGTAGTAACTGGAAAGAGAGGAAACCTATCTTCTACCCTTTTGACATAGCAATTGTAACTATAGTTTGATATTTTACAGGTTCTTTCAGAACGATCTAATCCTGAAGTAGACAATTTTACCAAGCCACCTCCATTTTTCCCTCCAGGAGCTCCACCTACCCACCTTCCACCACCCCCTTTTCTCCCACCCCCTCCAACTGTCAGTACTGCTCCACCTCTGATTCCCCCACCAGGTAAATATCCTGCACTACATTGGATGTGAAAAATGAGATGCATTAACATCACATGCTTGATGATAGATAATGAATTAAAGACAGCGCATTCCATGCACATGTGGCTGGCTATATGTGCAAAATTTCAGAATTTTGTGGGTTTTTTTCTCTTTTCTTAAATATATCTGCCAGGCAGAAATAGAAACTTTTGTCTTTTCCAGTAAGCATAGTCCCAAGTAATAAATAATTACCTAAAGACTAAATGTTGGATCTTCTGTCCTTGAAAACATTTGAAGTGGGAAGCTGTTGTCTGTAATTCAGCCACTGTTAATGCCGTTGAGAGGTGCATGTTAAATCATTCTACAGACTTTTGAACTGGAAGTATGGCATGCCGTGAATTTGTGTCATAAGTTGGATTCTCTGGTGTCTAAGATCAAAGCAGCAACAGAAGCTTTAATGCCCCTTTCCCCTCACAGTATGTATGAATTCCCAAAAGTCTGATAAGAATTGCATTTGTGTCCTATCCTTTCTTTCAGTCAGAGGTTTTATTAGCACCTGATGTTTTATCTAGCACCCTGTCTGTGAATCTTAGAGGAATCAAAGCTCTGAGAACTCTTTTCATTGTTAAATCTGCTTTGAGATTTACTGACACTTACTGAATATTTACTGAAACTCGGTATTTATGAAAATTTACTGGGGGGAGTGTCATGGGCATTTGAACAAATGAAGCAGTTACCTGAGCAGTGTCATTTTAAGGAATTAAGTTCAGAGGACTTAACAAGGAGCTGAGAGGGATGATCACTGAGAAATGAAAATAGGTGAAGAAACTTAGGGATTATTTGAGTAGGAAAGTGAAGGATTTGTTTATAGAAGAGACTGTTTATAGAAGAGCCCCATTCCTTATTTTCTCCTTTTTTTCCTTGCATTAATTTGCTTGACTTGTTCTGAAATGACATTGAGCAGTTTCTTTCCTATTCTGTTCACATAGGGAATCTTTTAAAAGTTTCTCTGTTAATACTGTTACGTATAAGCAAGGAAGTAACATTATTATTTCTGTGCGGCAACTTCGCACAGGGCTTTACAGGGTTTAAATCTTCATAGAAGAGGTTGCTTTCTTCAGTTGCTGCTGCTGATTTTCAAACTATTAACTCCTGCTGCCTGGCAAGTTCTGGTTTTCACCAGTGATTGTCATACACAAAACAGTGCAACCTAGAAAACAGAAGATGAGATTTAAAGATTAAATAAATCTGTGCCATTTTCCTAGGTTTTGTGCGTAAATACAAAAACTAGGGTGCTGAAGACAGAATATGCTGCTGCTCTGGCTATTTTGTGATGTTTTCTTACTGCAGGAAAGGAGGAGAGGAATATGATGCTAATGCTGAATGCACTTTTAAGCTGCATTAAAACCTTTCTGATGAAATAATGTAGGAAATGCATTGTAAGTTTTTAGAAAGTGATTATTTTAATTGTGGTACAGAAAAGGTGATCTAAGTTGTGTATTATTAAAAGCATGAGCACAGACACCCCACATGCACGTAGTGCAGGGATGTCATACAGGTGTACTGGGCTGTTTTGCTGAAACCCCTCACCTGTTGAGCTTTTAAAGGTGAAAGAAATCCATGTGTTATAAATTTAGCAAGCAGGTTTGGCTTTAGCCTTGTGGTTTACAGACAGGTTTATGACATACACTTGTTCAGAAGGTCTCCCTCAGCCTCCTTCCATGCTTTGAGTAGACTCAAAAATAACGATTAAGAGCTGTGGATTTGGTTTCTTCAGGCCTGTGTTTTAATTGTGCTGTTGCCAGCTCTTTATCTTCAAAGCTGTTCCTAAAATAGAATCTGCCATCCCTCCTAAGTTCAGTGGAGGAGGAGGAAAAAAGTTACTCTTACCCAATATTAAAGTGGGACTACTTGCCAGAATATTTAAGTATTCCAAATAGAAAACATCCTCCAAAAGTGCCTTTGAAAAAGGATCTTGCTTTGAAGTTAGATCTCTTGTTCTGAATTCATTCACTCTTGCGATTCAAATCTTTTTTGAGGAATGAATGCTGGAATGATTCAAAGGGCCAAGTGCAGAAAATTGTCAAATACTCCTAGGATATTACTGGCTGTGGCAAAAAAATGCTGGTTTTTGTTTGCTTGGTTTATTGCTATGTTGGAGTACTTTAAATCTGAAGAACATGGATGCTTTAAAAACAGACTTTAAAAGGTGTTTTATGTGTTTTGGTTTAAGAGTGTAGTTAAAATGTGGCATGTATTTGTGATATTTAAAAAAAAAATACTCTGAAGTATTGAATTTCTTTTGCATAACTTTGGGAAGTTTGACTGCCTAGACAGATACCGACGTTAGCAAGTGACAGTACATCTACTCAGCCCCAGCAGTCTAAGAGTGTACTTTTTACCTTGTGATAAAGGAGAGAGAATTTAACTTAGTTGACCCTGGGGCAGAAGAAGTTTTTACACCAAGCTGAGTTACATTGCTGTGGGCTGTTACACAGTTCAGGTGATTTGCAGTATGTTGTTAAGATGTGGCAGCATTATCGTGTTTGATTCCTTACTCAGCAAGCAGAACACATGTGGCATTGCTTTCCTTTCGTAAAACCTGCTTGGTTTTCTATAAATAACCGGCCTTGAGATAGTAGGGTGATATACAATGTCGTGAATGCAATTTTGAGCACATTAGGTACAATGCTGCACAAATGCCATTTGTTTTGCTTTTCACGCACGAGTCTGAATATTAAGGTTTAGGCCAGGTGCATCTTGGTGGCAGTATGTGTTTTAGGGACATGATGTGATCTTCTTGCAATGGTACTTAGGTTAAATCCCTACATGCAAGAAATGATTCAATGTTTCAGAGCCCTTATTCTTTCTCAGAAGTAATTGGCTGATGACATGATGACATTTCAAGTATATTTTCATACACTGTTAGTAAAAGGCAAAGGAGTGAAGAGTTAAGAGGTTCTCGATTTTCTATTGATAGAAGTTTACAGATTTTTTTGTTGTTTCATGTTTTGTGTCACATTCGTGTGTTAGTGAAGAAGATGAGGAAAAAGCTTTAGTTTTCAGGTTTTTGAGTTTAAATACTTTTAGTGATACTTGCTAACTTGGAATGCGGAAGAATGTGTCTTCCATTATGATACCATCAAGCAAATTAGCTGCTGTCTTACAATGATGTAACCATTAATCATGATTTTTTTAGGTGTTCTTAAAGGTTTTTGAGGCAAAAATGCCTGTGATTTGGTTGGGGGTTTTTTTTGGTGTAATACCCTGCATTAACCATTAAAATTAGTTGGACATTTGGTCTGTGGATATTAAGATGTATTCAGTCTGCTATAATTTTGTTTGAATGGCTCTCAAGTGAAATTTTTCATTTGGCTTTTAATCTTGTGATGAGATTTGTGTTTGTATTTCTGCACAAGTTAAAATTCTGATGAATGTATTAATCAGAATTTCTTCCTTTTTGTAAAGAATATTAGCTGATGGCTTTCCAGGCAATTCTGTGCATAGGGCTGAGAGCCATGTTCAGTGCTAAGAATATACTGGGTTTAGTGCAACAATTGATTGTTGCTTAGAAAAAACCCCAAACCATTAAGAGCTAGTAAATGGATTAGAGAGAATTGATATTTTTCTAGCTTACGTTCTTAATATTTTTAATGAAGTATTTGTATTTTTATATATTT